TTTTTTTTTTAAAAAAAAATATTTTCTATTTCATAAAGACAATAAGCTTAATTTTAATTTAGCAGTATTTAATTTTTCGATTTTTTTTTCTTTCAGTTACCTAAATTGCACTAAATAAGGGACGAAAGACTATCTGTCGTACATATATATATATATATATTTCCTTAATCATTTCTCTCTAACATTATAAAGTTTGCTATAACAAAATTCATAAGTTATTAGAAAAACAAAATTTCGAAAATCCTTCTATGTGTAGAGCTTCTCAATAATTTATCCAATGATTGATTATCATCATTAATGATGATAATCATTGATGATGATGATGATGAAAAATACAGTAACTGCGATCTTTAAATATAAGCATTATTATCAAATATTATTGTCAAATTTAATAATTCATTGATATTTTCAAAAAATATTATAGATTTATAAATTTAGAGAAGAAGTGATGAAAATAAATATCACCAAGAATTTATTCACAGGACGTGACAAGGTAAGCGAATTGGTAATTATTTTAAAATGTTGTCATTAATTAAAATGATGTCATTTAATGTGAAACGTTTTTGTCCTTTGAAAGCTGTCGGAAATTTTATTGGGTAAGCAATTCTTAATGAAGCAAGTAGTTACTAACAAATAATAATCGGATAAGCAGCATTTGAGTGTATAAATTTATTATCTGCAAATAAAAGCAGAAATTTTTTTTGGTTTTAGTAAAATTTCAATTTTCTTTAATTACATTTCATTTCATATATGCCTCACAAATTAGCGCCAAGAATTTTAGCATCGTAAAATATCATACTTTTATTGCTTTTTTGATACAATTTAATGTAATTAGCGCAGACAACTTAATCAAAAAATGGAAATAGTTTTATAATTTTGTTTGCTAATTAATAAAATTGGCTGAAAAAAATTCAAAAGACAATGATAGAATAAAAATTGAAATAATTTAAAGGAGAAATTATTCGCATTTTAATCATTTAATTATTGTTTTATATTATTTGGTCATTAACTCTAGATCATTGACAAAGTAATCAGTTACGACAGAATCAAATAAGCGACTAAGATTTAATAACAGATAGAAAATAAATTCATTTGTCCATTTAATCCAATCTATTTTTTTTTTAATAATTTCATTTAGCTTAAGAATGATAGTTTGATTTGTTAGATTTATGACAAAATTGTAAAATGATATTTTGAATGGAAATATAAATGGTAAACATATTATGATGGTTTTAAAAGATAAACATATGAAGGAAAGGAGAAAGAGAGAGAGAGAGAAATTAAATATGAATTGAATAAAATATTCATAAATTATTGAATTACCATTTGTAGTTTTTAAGTTTCATATTGTGAATGATACATATATTTAATAAAATTTTCAGATTTATACGACAAAAAAATTAAAAATGCAATTAAAAAGGATTGCAACAATCAATTGAATAATCTTTTCTGACAAATATAAATTAACGTTTCCTTTCTTATTTGCATAAATTGTTATCATTTCTTTGCAAATTGTTACTTATTGATAAAATAATCAAAAATATTAATTGTTTTGTGGGGATAAAATCAAAATAATAAATAAAAGATGGCTGATTTTTTTTCTTCTTTGTTTAGACAAAATTCTTACAATATGTAATTAATAGAATGTTTACTTGTTCACTTCTTGACATGTACAATTTATATTCTTTCTCTATATATATACATTTATTGAAAATGATTTAAGTCCGAATGTACAAACCAAGTTTTACAATTACTTATTTATGACAATGGTTCTTGACCGGTTAATCGTTCCCTTGATGAGAATTAATGTATTGGCGACAACGAGAGTTAACCGATGCTTTAGTAACGGCGACAACGAGATCAGCTGTGCTAAGTGGAAAACAGACGAGATTTGTTTTCTATTTTTATTTTTTATCTTTCTTTTCATATTTTGATCCAGAAGAAATCCCGGAGGAGTTCACTGAAATGCACAGTGATAGAAACTGCAAGAATGCCTTTAAATCAATTTCTTTTGAAAAATTCTGATGTAAAAAGCAATTCAGGTAATTGCCTTGCACTATCTTATAATCTCCACAACTTATTTATGCAAAACAAGAGCTTTTTGTTCTGCTTGTGATTAAAAACAAGACCAGAAATAGACCTGTAAAGAAGATACAATCTCAAATATCATGCTGATAAACTAAATTGAATTTTCGATGTTACTTCTAGTTCAACTAATACGTTTAAATGCTTAACTAATACGGTAACAGTTTTGGTTAAAGTTTATTTCCAAATTAACAGAATTGATTATTTTTATACGTGATGATCCATGATGCAAATAAAAAAAAGAACCAAACTAGTTTCCGGTCAAGAAAATGGTTGAAAACCGCTAATATGTGGGTAGCGATCCATCAAGTTTTTCACATAAAATGTGCTTTTCTGATACTCATCTCCTAAAATATACCATAACTCTGATATCCTTCTTACATAAAATGTATCACTCTAACAGCCCTCTCACATGAAATGTATCACTTTGACATCTATCTCACACAAAGTGTATCATAAAAAAAGTATGTCACTTTGATGTTCCCTCCATGTGAGGTATGTTACTTGATACCGTTTTCAAAAATTTTGGTACCATTTAGTATCGCGTAAAATTATCGACTTTTGTCAGTCCAATAAATTCAACTTGAAATGTTTCATTACCCGAGAACTAAAGTTAATGCAACCCATTTTTTATCACTTTTAAAGATATTAATGTCTTGAAACATGCCTTTTTTTTAATTTGTTATTCAAGTTATCATAAATTGAAGCAATCATTTCTGTCCGATTTTCTTCTCATACATTTTTCTATTTCTCGGAGTAAAAAAAAAAACCTCTTTTTCTAATGTTTACCATATAATTTATAATTTGAAAATAATGTAATTATCACCTCATCAACATTCTTCTTATCTCAGCTATCAGAGAAAACATCAATCATGGGTCGTAAATATTCATATCAGTGAATATTAATCATCGGGTCATTAAAATTTAAGTCGGAAAAATCAAAATTCCTAAATTTTCTAAGTTTCATTTGAAAGATCGACTTTTATTATGAGAAGGTTTTTCAAATGTTGTAAATTCCATTTGAAATGTAATTATTAACTGTTGGAATCATTCATTCAGCATTGCAACGTAACTTTATTCGAATTTTACCAATACAGTGCTATTTTGTTTTGGTTAACAATTATTGTTATCAACATGATTGATACTCTAACAGTTACACTTAACTATTTCCATCTTTAAATTTGATAAATTACATCATGGATTGAAAATTTCTCTTATTTATTTGCCATTTAAAAAAAAAAAGAAAACACGTTGTATTTTAAGTGTAGAAATGTATTTTGTTTACTCTCTTAAATAATTTATTTCCATACAATTAATAAAAAAGTAATTTGGTTGCTCAACAAAACATTTGCATCCAAAAAATCAATTCATCCTTATTTGCTTAGCAATGCTTAGCAAGATTGCAAAATCAATTCATCCTTATTTGCTTAGCAATAGATTTTTTATGGTCAAATAAATAAATATCATAAGTAATTATCCAAATAGCTGATGAAGAATTAAAATTACGGAAAATTCATTGTCAATTAAATTGAATGAATTAAATGAATTAAATTAAACTTACTGACTTGAACTGAATGCAACCAAATGAACTGAATAAGTAAATTACGCTAAATCGAACTAAATGAACTAAATGAGCTAAATTAAATTTCTATACTAATTAAATTCGTGGACCAAGTAACACGAATTAAATAAAATGAACTAAATGAAACAAAACAATGAAGCTATATTTTTTCATGAAATTAAATGTTT